CTTTCCTGACTGAACTCAGCACAGTAGGGTAGTGGGGAACTTTTTTTGTGATCATCTCCTTACACCATTATTCTGAAAGTGTCCTTTCTTGGTCACGCTATCAAGGAGTTTGGGGAGCTGTGGAAAATGGGTATAGGTGGAGAAAACTACTTTAGGTGGATACTTCAAATCCAGAACCCTTCATCAGCTCATTAAGAAGAGCAAGCAGTAACTCATTTCTATTGACCTGTACAGGTGCTTGAATTGTAGGTCACTATAGCATCCTCATAATTCTTTATCATCTGTATTGTCAAGCTCTTACCTGTCCCAAATATTTAGACCAATAAAACAAACTACATAGACAATCAGTATTGTCAATCATTCTGTACGGAACATTGCTGAGGAAAGAGCTCACAAACAGAACAATTATATTCAAACAAAACAGTGAAAACATTTAACAAATCTCAGATAGCCCTTTTACCCCCACTGTACTGTCTGCTTTACCATTCTCCCTCTCCCACAAATAAAGACAGTAAAAAAATCATGAGAATACCTTTGAACTTGTGAAAGACGGCCCATAGCTCAGCAATGTCAGTGGCAAATGTTATGTCTGTGTCGAGGACAATGACTCGCTCAAGATTGGAAGGTAGAGTCTTAGTCAGAACCAACTTCATCAGCCCGTAAATCCCAGAGTAGTGTTTGTTGGGAATCCAAGACACTTCCGACTGATGGGAAATGGGAAGTGGGAAAGAGAAAGAAAAAATATTCTTCATTAGAGAGAGAACCTCCTCCTGACTCTAGATTCTTGTAACAGTGGAAGATCTCTGAGTACCAGCAATACACCACCATAAAATGCCACAGGGAAACAGTCATTTAAATCCCTGCTTTGAAATTAACTTCAGAAGCTCTGAAACATGCTAAAGTTTCTGGAAGCTTGAAAAGTTCTTTAAGGCAACTGCTTTGCACAATATAATTAAAATTAGTTGAGTCTTTCCAACCTGGTACAATCAGTTCTGAGACATCATGTATCCTGCTAAAATTGAAATACATTTGTAATCCAAAACTTCAGGTGTACTGTAGATTGCTTTCATTTTCAAAGAGACAAAAATTTTTTGTGTTTACCATTCCCAGAATTTTCTAACTCTTAAGTAGAAGTAACAAATATAATTTTTTCCCTTTTATTTCTTACAGGTTTGGAGGTCAGCATTTCATAAGGCCAGTCATTTGGAATAATAGACCAGAAAATTTAAAAATAATTGTTTCTTACAAACTCAATTTTTCCTTAAGCCTGCATCTTTAACTTACAACTAGCCACATCACATGTACAGGCTCAAAAGTGGAGAAAGTGGAAGAACATTTTTAACCACATATTTTTGTTTGTTATATATTGAAGAGGCAGACCCAAATAGTTACATTTCTTCAGTAAGGGCTAAACAAAACATTTGTACAGCTTCTAAAATAAGTTGGGAAACTAATCTCAATAGTTCATTGTGCTACTGGCACTAGGATGTTCCATCTGCTAGGTTTTATTTTCTTTCTGCGAGTCTCAAGTTCTCAAATATTACGTGTCACTATGGAAAGTGGATATAGAAGTTTTTGTGAAGTTCCTATTGCCCTGTCAGTTACTCCTCTTGTTTAATGTTTTAAAGGGCAGGAACTACAATTTCCAGATTTTAAGTTTTCCCCTAAGTCACCATCTCGTTAACTTCAATTAGTATTTTTTCTACAGGGGACCAGAGTGAGACAGATTTCAGGATTTGTCCTGGCCTGTTATACCTCAGACAAAGTAAGCAGAAACTAAGGGCACTCATAAAACTGAGAAGATTTATTCTGTTGTTTAAATGTCTCATATCTATTCACTGGCATTGTAAAGTTTACTATGTGAAACAGCTTTTGCGCAGAAGAGCTCATTTCCTCCAAAATCCATCAAGAAAACATTCCCATAACAGAATGGGTTTCTAAACTTTCCTTGGAAGTTGAAAGAGTGGTTGAAGAAAAGCTAATAATAGCTGCTTGGAGTGCATTTCTTTTTGAATATAAAGTGACAAGGCCTCTGCTGATGTAAGATGATCTGCTCTTTTCCCTTCAAAACGGCACACAACTTTCTTCTGTATTCTCAGGGTTCCTGTACCACGGCAGAGCTCCCCCCCCACTGCTAAGTTCATTAAAAAACCTGAACGTATTAGAGCAAATGTTTGAGGATAACTGCAAAATTTTAAAGGGAAAAGCAGGAAAAGCAGGTCACCTTAAAACAAACCCAAAACAGAAAGGGCAAACTGAAGTGTGCAGTTTTGTTTAGTTTTTTTGAAAAGTATCTCACTCTGGCAATCCATTTGTATGTACCCTTGTCTGCATATAATTCATATGTAATCACTTGCATATAAAATTGGCTGGAATTGCCTCCTACACACATACTTATTATGTACTTGAGGTCTCTATAGGATTTGCACTGTAGAATGCCAGAAGTAGCACAAGCAAGGAATCCTAGGTCGCCGGTATAAACGACTATGAAAGAAATGAGAGAGTGAAGTAACAAAGTAACACACAGTGTGTTTTAATTTATGAGCCATCACTCTTATTTCATTCTTTCTAGCTTACCCTCTCTGTAATTTGCATGGTGTTTAGAAATCTAGTTTCTGTCTCCCAGATATATGCCAATCTTGTCTCTAGTTATATAAAAAAATGAACCTCAACGTTCTCCATAAATGTCTTCTACGTGTGTAACAGAGGTCATTTCAAATCCACATCCTCAAAGCTCCAGTTCCTGTGGTCCTAGTTCTCTCACATGATTGCCCTAGGAAGCGACAATGACATCAAGGTCTCAGCAAAGCAGTATTTACCCTGCTTCCCCAAACTTTGCGTATCATTCTGAATCTGCCACTTGATGTCTTCTGTTCTAGACCAGCCATGGAGATCAGCTCTCTAGTCATACTGACATGGTAAAAGAGTTAAAAGTAATTTTACAGACTTGAGCTTGCTTTTATTATTACCTACCCCTATGTTATTAATTTTGGATGTCAGATCCTTCATTTAATTAGTCAAAATGCAATATTGTTCCAGAATACCTCCTAATATGCTTATGCAAATAAGCCTAATAAGGCAGTGGTTCAGATGTCACATGGATAGTCTGAGACAAGCAGGGAAGGTAAAAAATGGCTGGAAAAGTAAGTCACCTTCAAGGAGCCATTACTTTCTTTGCTCTTAGGATTCCAAATATCTAACACCATTGCCATGTATCAATGCAGGGAGGAAACAATCTTGCCTGGTTCTTTCTTCTGATCTGGCACACAGAAGCCAGAAGCCTGCCACCCTGAAGCCTTATGACTGAAAGGATTGCTTTTGAAAATTAAAGGAGCAATCCTTATTCCAAATGTTCTATCACAGCTGGCTCGCACGTGTTTGATTTGAGCATATGTTGAAGTTTGAACTGCCAATTGGTTTAACATATATGAAGTTTTCTCTCCTCTGATGCAGACTTGTCTAAGACATAAACAGGGGTCCTAATTAGTCCCCAGCAAAATTTCTTCACAGCTTTGCTATTCATAAATAATGTAACCATTCCAAATTCATGCCAAGGAAAATTCCTCATGCTACACAACAGCACTGTGAACGCTTGCTCTCTCTGGATATTACATACAGCCTTACTAAAAGAAATACAAGAACCCTATGGTTGAATAGGTGCTTGGTAGTTAAGAAGTGCCAGTTTGAGATAATTAAGGTGGCCTAAGCACAAACTCCTGCAAGATTCTGCACCCTCCAAGCTGTCCACTTTGATAAAACTTGTAACAGTTAGCCATTTCATTTCACTAAATATTGTCTAAATATTTTCTGTAAGTCTTCATACTTTTTTTTTATTCCAGCATAGTTAAAATGGCCCACATATGGAATGTTTGTGAACCATTTGCTTTACAAGCTAGATCAGAGTTGCCTTCAGAGAACAAATATTCCCAGAAGATACAGCAGGTACAGGAAAAAGAGAGAGTTTGTAAAAAAGAAAGTGAAACAAAATAGTGTGACATACTTTGCAATTTGTATAATTCTCAGTTCAGCAGAAATAGCACACCTCAGATCTCTCCCTCTCAACATGTGGATTTTTTGTTCATGGGAGCAGAGTAAAGAAAGGCATTTAGCTGGTGCTGACAGCGATTCTTTTAGGTAAGCTAAGTGAAATATCTTCTCACTAAAGGTCTTTCATCAGAACGATCTTTATTATTTCCATCATTGGACTGAAATTATACTAAATTATCTAAATTCTTTGGTGCTTTCTGGCTATGAATGCAGAAATTAAATGCCCCGGAGTCTGCCTGCTGCACACAGCTGATCACTCTGGTAAATGCCAGAGAAGCAGGAGCAACAGTCTCCACATCCAGTGATACTTCACCAGGGAGCTGTCTTCTCTAACTATGCTCTATCTATGGGAAAAGCTGGCTAAAAGACAGTGTCTGTACACAGCTTAGCTCAGCTTTCTCAGTGTTGCTAACACTGTAGAAATGTTCATTAGTCACCAGAAGTGCCCTTTTTAAGGAGGAAAGTCTAATATGGACACACAGCTTCAAATCAACTTCCTTCTTTCTACAGAATCATGGAATAGTTTATGTTGGAAAAGACCTTAAAGATCATCAAGTCCAACATTAACCCAGCCCTGCCAAGTCTACCACTAAATCATGTCCTTAAGTGCCACATGTACATGTCTTTCAAATACCTCCAGGGATGGTGACACAATTACACAACCATTTCAATGAAGAAATTTTTCCTAATATAGAATCATAGAATCATAGAATGGTTTGGGTTGGAAGGGACCTTAAAGATCATCTAGCTCCAACCCCCCTGCCATGGGCAGGGACACCTTCCACTAGACCAGGCTGCTCAAAGCCACTCGAAACCCTCCCTGGTGACACTTGACGCTGCTTCCTCTTGTCCCATGATGGAAATGATACAAATATGATTTGTATAGTGACTATACTTCCAATTTTTAAAGTATTTTTGTTCTTAAAAACACTTGAGTCTGGTTGCCCACACACTGAGATTAAAGAGCACAACTGGAGTCATCAAAAATATATTCACTCAGACTTCGACTCTCACAGTGTACTTTTTTAAGGAATTGCAGTGATTTTTTTTTCCCCTAAATATTCTAATTTCCTCCCCTCAAACAGGTGATAAGGAAATTTGCCCAGGCTTCTCAGCCGAATACTGACCGCTCTGTAGCTGTAAATGAAATCTGTACTAGGGCAGGTACCTTGAGCCCCTTTGAAAGGGATGGAGACTTGGTCTTGTAGACTTAGCAGACAGCAAATTTGGAAAATACTACCAGCAGGAGCAGAATGGAAGTTGGAACAGTGACCAATAGGAACGGACAATCAACTTATGGGTGCCTGAATCTTGTCAGACCATGAGTCCATCAAGCTCAGCAGCTGACATCTGGCAGTGGATGGTGACAGGTGCCTACCAAAGAATATAAAACCAGTGAAGTACAGCAGTACTGCTCCCATATATACTCTCATCCTCTGACAATTCCATAGAATCACAGAACGGTTTGGGTTGGATGGGACCTTAAAGCCCATCCAGTTCCACCCCCCCTGCCATGGGCAGGGACACCTTCCACTAGACCAGGTTGCTCAAAGCCTCATCCAGCCTGGCCTTGGACACTTCCAGGGATGGGGCATCCACAGCTTCTCTGGGCAACCTGTTCCAGTGCCTCACCACTCTCCCCGTGAAGAATTACTTT